CCGGCGCTCGCCCCCCCACCCCCCCCCCCCCCCCCCCTTTGGCTGTGATATGTCCCTCAGCGTCCTCACATCTAATACAGGTGAATGGGCTGCATTAGATGAGATGATGTCGGCTTAGACCACTAGAGCTTTTGGGAGAAGAGGATGTGAGGACCGGTCTAGCAGCTCAGTGAGATTGAGGATCAGATGAGTATATCTTCTATAACGCAGCCCCTAGACCAAAACGAGCAGTTAACCCTTGCAGTATGGGGGTAGCCCCACTGCAAGAATTAAGTTGTTAATCTTTTTTATAGATGAATTCCAGGCAACTTTGATGATCTGCTGAAAGACTACAAGTCATGTAGTGGGCGCTGATTTAACCACCTCCCGTCCGGGAAACTTATAGGAGCGGGTGGGCGTCCCGCTGGGCGTTAGATGTCCTTCCCCTCCCCCCACTCGTGCGCAGCGCTCAGCGCGCACACAAGTGGGGAAACTGTCAAAAATGTAAACAGCCAGCGATGGTTGTTTACATTCAAGCGATCGGGCATTTCTATCGCTTGTGTTAGGTGCAGTTTTAATCTTTAAGTTTTTTTTGTTATATATTATATTATTATATTATATTTTTTGTTATATATTATTAAATACCACCAAAATAAAGCTCTATGTGTCCCCAAAAAATTGTAAAAAATTAATTTCAGTACAGCATTGCATGACGGAAAAAATGTCAGTCAAAGTACCCCAGCGCTGAATACTGAAAAATGGCCTGGCCAGGAAGGGGTATAAACACCCCGGTCATCAAGCAGTTAAAGATGATCTACTTTCAATGCTACTAATATTTTGTTAGACGATTCGAAAATCAATAACTGTGTTCTTAAATGTTGCTGGTATAAATAAATGAAATGTGTCTTTATCTTAGCGTCTGTTGATTCTTTGGCATCAGAGAGTTAGAGGGTATCTTCTGTGAGTCAAAAATTCTCTATAGCATAGTACAATGCTTTCATCTCAGCATGTTTTAGCCAGTGGTAGTTAGAATGAAAGTATGTATTGGGATCTAACTGTGACCATACATGTTACAATCTGTGTACAATCAGCTTTAGCGGTACCAAAACTATGTGATGGGAGGACCTACCTAAACTATCCAATTAACTTGTATCCAATCAGGTGGTCCTTGTACTACATACTACAGGTGAAACTCGAATAATTAGAATATCGTGCAAAGTTCATTTATTTCACTAATGCAACTTAAAAGGTGAAACTAATATATGAGATAGACTCATTACATGCAAAGCAAGATAGTTCAAGCCGTGATTTGTCATAATTGTGATGATTATGGCTTACAGCTCATGAAAACCCCAAGAACCCCAAATCCACAATCTCAGAAAAGTAGATTATTACATGCAATCAATAAAACATGGATTGTACATAGAACAATATCGGACCTCTGAAAAGTACAAGCATGCATATGTACTCAGTACTTGGTTTGGGCCCCATTTGCAGCACTTACTGCAATTACTTTTGCACGATATTCGAATTATTCGAGTTTCACCTGTAGTTGGGAGATCTAAAGGCGATTTTAATGTGTGTGTGGTGTGCTTTAGAGGGCACACAGGAGAGTTGGGGGGTACACTGTAAACTGCAGAGCTGCAATAGTGAACGGTGGGATGGCTAAAGAGTATTTCAGATATTTAGGTAGGTGACCCGTATCCATGTATGTTTTTCAGCTGTGTATTTAACTGTTGAAGTATTTTTACACTTTTGTATAAATTGGCTTTCTAACCTTTGGACTGTTTTTTCATTTTATTTGTTTGACATGAATAATATATATGGTTTCATTTTTGTTAACTTAGGGCCAGAAAGGAGAGCTTGGAGTCAAGGTGAGTAACAGCGTTATACAGGTTTTTGAATGTGCTTGTGGTCTACATTCTGCTGATTTGGTTATCCCTATGTCATACCTATCAATATGTCTCTTCAGGGTGGTGCTGGCTTTGGTTATCCTGGTCCAAAGGGACAGAAAGGAGAACTTGGATTACCTGGCCCACCAGGACCATCTGGATCCTCCGGGCCTTCCGTTGTGCAGAAAGCTGATGGCACTACCGTGCAGCAGATCACAGGGCCACAAGGCCCCCCAGGTCCTCAAGGGCCCCCAGGAAAAGAAGGAGAGCCTGTAAGTAATGGATACAATAAGCTGCTCTGTGATGTTTTTGGTTGTAAGTCATTTTGGGAGATTTAATAAGATTACATTAGAATTCAAAATTTTAAAATGTGATACATGGTGCATGAGAACCCCAACTCCAGCCAAAACTATTTTTTAGTTTTGGATAGCTTTTGGAAGAATTCAACTTTTGAAGACCCTCTCGAGATTTGATTTGCTGTCTTACAAATATCCTTTTTGCTCTCCACAATAAGAAATCCACTCTTCTCCGATTCTGCTATTCGCAACAAAACATGAGGGAAGCTCCCTGGTGGCTACACACATAAGTGCACTCTACCTAAAACTTTTATTATTGAGGTCTGTGTTTTTGTGTGGGAAAGTAAAGAGAAAACTTTAAGCATTAGCAAAGCAGCATAGTCAGCACTTCAAAGCTAAAGCTATACAATAGTAATTCAAGAATCACTGCGCTAGGTGTGAAAACTAAATAACTAAATAATTAGTTCGACCAAGAAATAAATCTTTTTTGAATTACTGCACTTAGAGGATTCCGTCGCCTTTTCCTCGTCTTTTTTCCCCCTGGGAGATCTTAATAGGTTTCCGTCCCCAGCGAGAGGTGAGGGAGCCTGCCAGAGGGAGGAAAAAAGCAGACCAGATCTTTTGAGAAAGGAGGACGGATCACAAGAAACCATAGGACTTTCCGGATTCTATGAATTATCCCTGGTTTGAGACTTTTTGAACTGACCACTCTGAACTGACTGCTCACTAAGATCGATGCCGGTATTTTAGTTAAATTAACCCCGCATTTAATCTTTGTCTATGAGAGGAATCAGAGTGCACGGAGTAGCACTGTATATGTGATAATTTTTCATACTGTTTAATTTCTATTATTTAAGTGTTCGTACTATATTTAAAATTTGTCACGATTTAGAGATTGGGATTTTAGAATTTGTTTTTGTTTTTCTTATACACGACCAATCTGTGACACCGAGTCATTTATATTTGGATTGGTGTCTTTGAATAGATTGTCACATCATTAAGAGGTTTTGTTTGGACAAACCATGTACACTTAGTACACAGAAACACCTAATCAATACACCGGCTGGTGATTGAAAACCCTTTTCCCACACCTGATTGTTGTATTGCACAACTATTACCGAGGTAGTGACTACCGAGATTTATAATTTTTTCACAGTAGAATCTGAACTTAGTAACTTCTTCACGTCCTATAGAGTGCACATAAAGCTATACAATGTTTTGTTGGAGTTGGGCATTAACGTAAAGTGGACCTTTACCCCCTTTTATTAAAAATCACAGCAGCATGCAGCTCTGCATGCTGTTTGAAAATAATCTTACATTCATTGGTTAAACAAATTTGTTTTTCATTTACGTACAAATCAAGTTCATCTACTTCCGGGTCCTGTTTTGGCACGAATGATGTAATGTGCCCAAGCGTTGCATCCTGGGAAGGTTACATCAGCAGAGCATTGCTAGAAAATCTCATCTGTAATCTCACGAGATCTCAGGAAATGCATTTTCCTCCCCTGAGATGATGTGCATAGTTACATGTCCTAGTCACATGTGCCAGATTTTCAGGCAGTAAAGGGAGAGCTAGTAATCTGCCCTTAGTAAACATGGCCACTGTCAGAAGACTGGGAAAGAAAAGAGAAATATGGTATGCAAAGAATATAAAGCCGGCAATTATCTAGAAGTATGTGTTTGTAGATTGTCATTACTAAACATTTCTAAAAGTATGTTTGTTGTTATTTTAAAGATAAGGGTAAAGGTCGGCTTTAATGTGTATCTAAATTGGAGAACAAAAATGTATTATGTTGCAGCCTATTGATCCATTGATGTGGTAGCTGCATTAGTTTTGTTTTTTCTTTTCCTACAATTTCACCTGGTATTCCTGCCAGTAACACACTTCCTGTCCTAGAGTAACAATGCACACTTACTGTACTGTACTGTGTCTAGAAGTGACTCAATGTTCAGAAATAAAAGGTGCCAAACCAAAAGGTGAAAGAGTACAAAAGTGCCGTTAATTAGTCACAACTCAATTAAACAAGAAACAGTCAATTACAATGCTGGCCCTAAAGGAGGTCTTTTTAACAAATCATATAGAGGCCTGATGAAGGAAGAGTATTGTTACCCCGAAACGTGTTGGCTGGTTTTTTTAAATAAGATTTCTAGCAGAACCAACAGATATTTATTTGTATTTATCTAACAGATACATCAAAACACTTTCAGCTATATTTAAAGGAGAATTACGGGGAGAGTGAAATACACTCATCCCCATAATTAGAGCCGACGTGTGACACAGAAGCTGTCACACATCGGCTCTATTGATCGAGAACTGAGTGATCACATACCGTTGATTGCTACGTTCCCGATCTTCTCCCTGCAGAGAGCAGTGACTTTCAGTCACCGCAGGGATTCCCCCCCACCCCCCCTCCCCCATCGTCATTCCTCCAGCTCTAACTGGAGGGACAGATGGAGGAGATGGCACAGCTGGCTTTGCTTTAGAAAGGCAGAGCCAGCTGTCAGTCAGGCGCCAGGGTGGATTCTGACAATGTTGTCGGAATCATGCGCTGTGCTGTCAGCATATAGCTGGCAATAGTTTTGGGTCACAGGAGGACATTAGTAAATGTCCCCCTGTGCCCCTAAAGAGAACTATGGCAAAAAAGGTTGGGCCATAGTTCTCTATTGGATCTAAAGAGATCAAACAAAAGAATGTAATTGTTAAGGTTAACACACTTTAACTCACTACCTATAACAACATAATAACCTTTATTTTCTATAAGCGCCTGACAAGCTATAGAGAGTTAATATATGTTATGATAATATTCAATATATATATTTCTTAGTTTTGGTCCTGATACTTTTAATTAATTGTTCTCTTGAATGACATACAGACCATTCTGATCTACTAAATGAAGGGGGATGGGAAAAACTATGGTACATTTTCAGGGGTGCTTGCAACAGGCATGCTTGGATTTACATGACTTCCATCTTCACTGTTGCTGCCTCTACTCAAGCACCCAAGCATAGTTTGTCCTAGACCCTATCACTGTCACTTTTGCTGAACAGATTGGTCTACCTGTAAATGTGGATAAAAATATAAATACGGACATGTAAAGTAAAAATTAAAGTAACATGCTGAACATTATTATTATTATTATTATTATTAATAATAACCACATAGAGCTATCATAATGTATTACTGTATATGACCGTTGTCCTTTAAATGAGGAAATATTGGTTACTTGTGCTGTAGCTGTCTGTCATTTTTAAAGTCAATATAGACTTGTGTCATTTAGATCAATCGCAACTCTTCAGCAGGGAAATTAATTTCATGGCAGTCTGATAAAGGTACATGAAGTGGCCCCCTTTGCTGCGGGTGACTAGCTTTTCTTGCTGTTACCTTGCCAATTCTATTATCTGTTTGTCATAAATATGCTCAATTGGACTCGCCAATAATTTTATTTCAGGAACATATTTGAGAATGTTTAATAAAACCCTATTGTTTTATGTCCAAAAGTTAAATCAGCAGCACATATTACATTGCTTTACAATATAAAACCTATAACAATCCATGAGCCATCCATAAAACAGCACTACTTTTTTTATTTTTCATTATTCATTTCAAAACACTATGCCGCTTTCACATTACCCATAAACAGGTGTTAATGGTGTATATTAAAATATGTTTATGTAATACTAGTTTAATCCTTCTCTGGTAATATCTGTCCTATTCAGGGGGAAGTTGGACCTCAGGGATTCCCAGGAACTCCAGGTGATCCAGGGCAGAAAGGAGACAAGGTATTTTCATTTTTATGCCACTTTAATTAGCACATGGGTTATGTAGGTTTATTTCCAGCAACAATATGTCATAAAAGTAAAGCATGGGTGATTTTCTAACACTAATTGTCTTCATAGCATGCTCCCTGCGTGTGTGTAATTGGAAAGTGTGAAAATTATAATTCTAAACAGTAGCTTTCCTTAACCCACGTAGTCGCTTAAGTAGTAAAACAACCATAGGGGTTGATTTACTAAAGACATAGAGCATGTTCACTTTGTTCAGTGACTAAGGTTACGTTGTGTTCACTTTAATCATCCAATCATGTGCAAACAATATTGTGTTTTTATGCCTCTTGCATGTATTCATAGACTGTACACAGCATCACCTCGCTTATGTGAATATTTACTTTTCAAAGTGAACACGCTCTACTGCTTTAGTAACATAATTCCAGCTATTCTTGTGAAAGAAGAGATGCCAGTTCAAATTTGAAATGAACATT